CTCGATGGGGCTGTGCTGCCTCAGCTCTCTCGTCTGTGAAATGGGCACACAACACCTGCCTCTGCTTTGTTCAGGAGTCTGTGGCCCTCAAGGGGCCGGCTGACAGGCTCTGACACCCTCAGATCCCAGGTCTCCGGGGGAGCTCAGACTCAGCATGCTGGGGGGTTGTGGGCCTGCTGAGACACCCCCTGGCTGAGAGGACAGGAGTGTGGAGCCTGCCCTGGGAACCTGAAAGTCAGAGGGAGGAGGCCTCTGGAGATGGTCAGGAAGTGGCCAGCACCTCCCTGACCTGCGGGTCTAGTAGAAGGAGGGGGTGGGGGAAGACCGCTGGGTCCGTGGCTGTGGTACAGAGGGGCCGCTTCCAGTGTGCGGAGCTCTCTGACTGACCCTGTTCCCTGAGAAGTTGTCCGCGAGGGGCAGAGGGGTAGGCACAAACCCGCACGGCACACTCACAGCCGGTCACACCCGCGGCTCCAGATGTGGGCACACAGGGACACGCCCGCTGCCGCACTCACCACCTTCCAGTGCTGCTCTTTTCCTCACCATCTGAGACCAGAGGGCCAAGGAGCCCAGATCCGCCCACCCCACAGGTCCTTAAGGCTAGCTCTGATTTCTGGAGACGAGGGGGTCTGTGTGCTCAGCACCTTCTCCCAGCTTGGTAGTCATGGTCTCTTCGGGAAGGAGGGTGACCTCGGGCTGAGGGAGTGGCCTGGGTGCCCACCTTCTCTGTGGCTCTGACCACCTGGACCTCAGCAGGCTGCTGGTGCTCGGGGAGCCTCAGTTCCCCTCATCTGTGAGTGGGGGGGGCACTAACGCCTGCCTGGGCTGGTCTGCGCGTCACGTGAGGTAAAGCACGAGCCTCAAGCAGCACTCAGCCAGGGGGTCACCGTCAACCTGTCCGTGGCCACCGCCCACAGTGACACACCTGACCTACCACCTGTAGCCCCCCAGAGTTCTGGCGGAAGCGGGAGCCCAGGGGCCCAGCACAAAGGGCTGAGGGCGCAGGGGCCCGGTCCAGTTGCGACCCGTTATGTCCTAGAGCGGCCGGAACCCCAGGCCCCCCGAGCCCCACGGCGCCTCCCCAGATTGACCCTGCTCTTCCCAGTGACTTCCAGGGTTGGGTGGAGAGAATTCGGAATAAATGATGCCTTCCCCTCCGCCAGAAGATGGCAGGTGACTTTCTGAGCCACACATCTGAGACAGTTCCCCATCTTTCTTTGGCAGAGCTGGGGCACGAGCGGGACAGTGGCGCACGGGCCCCGGAATACCCAAGGGGCCATCAGGCAGAGGGGGCGTGGGCTGGACGTGCAGCGGGTGCAGGGCGCTGTGACTTGGCGCCAAGGGTCCATTCTGGATCCAGGGGCAGGAGCTTGCCTGGCTGGGCCGCACTGGGCCAAATCAGGGGACTGTAAGTAGGTAGCCACCCCCGCCCCGCGGGGCCATGGTGACCTGGTGGTAACGGAGACAGGAACACCGAGTGGGGGGGCTCCCCGTGCAGAAGCAGCGGTAGCGTCCTCATGGTCATTGTCGTATCCCGAGGCTGCCAGGTGGTTACGTGTGTGTGTGTCAGAGCCCGAGTCCCATCAAAGGGGAGGCCTCGGGTGAAACAGGTCCCCACTTTTTATTATGGTACAAGATGCCTGGCCTCAGCATTGAGACACCAGTTTCCCTCCAGCAGGGTGTCCTTTCCACAGAACTTGTGGGGCACCTATTTCCCTCCTTGCACTGGTTCCTGGGGAGCTCAGAGCTTATTTTGCTGGTGCCCAACTCCCCCGGCAGGCCTTTTGTGTGACAGTTTCCTTCCTGGCTTCCTCCTATTCTTCTTTTTTTTTTTTTTTTTGAAGATTTTATTTATTTGAGACAGAGAGAATGAGAGAGAGAGAGCACATGAGAGGGGGGAGGGTCTGAGGGAGAAGCAGGCTCCCTGCCGAGCAGGGAGCCCGATGCGGGACTCGATCCAGGGACTCCAGGATCATGACCTGAGCCGAAAGCAGTCGCTTAACCAACTGAGCCACCCAGGCGCCCCCTCCTATTCCTCTTACATTTCTGAACCTGCTATCCGGTGAGGAATCGAAGTGGTCCCCAGATTCAAGAGCCTGTGAAGCCGAGCTACTGGGGTGTCCTGGACCTCATGGGTGGTCCAGACTGAGGGAGCGACAGGGAGGGGGTAAAGATGGACAGAAGCTGAGCTGGGCAGGGTGGGGGGTGGAGGGCATATGGGGGGCGAGGGCCAGGAGCGGAGGGGTTCCAGGCCAGAGCAGAGTTTCCAGGCTGAGAAAAGAGAGGACACCAGGGTGTAGAGGGTCCCCACAAGGTCAGGGAGGGAGGGCTTATCTGGAGGTCACCAGCCATGGCCTCTCCGACCAGAGAGATAGCAGGGAATGGGCATGGTTCTGTGCTGGAAGAGGAATGGTGGAAGGACAGGACAGAGGGACTGAGGTTCTAGTGACCATACTCCTCATGTCCCGGCCAATTTTCTGGGAGATGCCCCAGGGAGACTGTAAGCCTCTCCTCTTGGGCTACTTTCCTACTGGGTGCCTAGGATCCCATGCATCTCACCCTGAGAATCCTCAAGAGGCTGCAAATTAAATATAAGACCAAAAAAAAATTAGCAGAGAGCATGATTTCTGATTGACAAAAGGACATTTTATTGAGAGCTGATTGGGTGCTGGGAGCAGGGCTGGGGATGACAGGCGTGAGCCCTGGCAAGAGCCCCCCAGGTCTGTCGGGAGCATCCCAATGCCCAAATCAGGGGAGCCCTGGCACCCTCTTTGGCCTCAGTCCCTCTGCAGGTTCACCGGTCCTCAAACTCGCCATCCCACCCCTGAGCTGCCCTGTTCCTGGCTGGCATCAGCCTTGAGACCTCAGAGCTTCTTGAGAAATCCATCTGTCCTCCAGCATCGGTCTGTCTGATTTCCCCCCCAGGTAACTCTCCCTAGTATCTTCTGTCTGGCTGGCTTGGTCTGTCTGTCTTTAACACGGTATCTATATTTCAGGCTCTCCTCCCTTCCAAGGAGAAGCTTCTTGCCTCACAGTCCCAGCCAGTGAGACCCCAGGATTCCAGGGAGGAGCTTAGCCATTAACCAGGAGGCCATGGGGAACCATGGACAATGGGCCCTGAGACTGCTCGGGGTGGACATGGTCTGCACAAGAAGGATAAATATAGGGAGGGAGCAGAGGATGGGCTGTCCTGTCCTGCTGGCCTACCTTCTATTCTGGAATATTCTCTGGGCTATTCTGGGTAAGAATGAAACTGCCCCATAAGGAAAACTAAGGATTCCTACTATCCCAGAGGCCAGAGGAGATGGTCAACTGGAGAAGCAGCTCTGAGTCACAGCGAGGAGGGGTGTGTATGGGGGGGGTCACTGGAACTGGCCCATCCTGTCCCCACCAGATGCTTCAGAGCAGGAATAGGCTACAGGGGGTGAGATGGCCAGACAAGAAGGTGAAGTTTCCAGAATGTCAGAACGATTCAAATCCCAGTCCTAGACTGAATGGAAAGGAGAGAAATTCAAATCCAAATTTCACTTTGGTCCCCAAAGAGAGAGAAAGCACAGTCAACTGGGTCCCTCCACTGAACACGTAACACAGTGATACAGCCTCGAACACAAATCCTCGGTCACCCCCGGCAGCACACCCCCTCCCCGCCAAACCCAGGCCCACCTGCCACTGCTTGGGAGGCTCAAAGTCCAGCCTCCTCTTTGTGGGGGCTGGTCTGGCCCATGGGAGCTTGAGAGGGGGCCCCCTCCCCCCACATCTTCAGTTCCTTGTGGGGTGAGCTTCCTCGCATCCCCAGCCATGGAGGGGTAGGAAGGAATGTCTGAGTGACATATCACATCCCAGGTAACTTCCTGGAAGGAGCTCGGTCTATGGCCCGGCTGGCTTGGGGAATGTCACCTGGAAGAACTGACAGTCCTGTTTCCAACACAGACATGATGGGGCCTGTGCCCTCTGCTGAGCTGAGGCCCGTGGAGGGTTCTGGATGCTACCACACGTCCTAGGCACAGGCCCCACACGGCCGTGCGTGCAATAGCATGTTTGTGTGTGTACTAGCGTGTGCATGCAACCTGATCGTGCGTGTGTACGTGCCCAGTCTGTGTGCGGGACGCGGAGCCTGGACCCGCCACCCTGAGCTAGCTCCCTGCACGGCCGTCTTCCTGGTTCTCAGGGCCCATTCCCAACTCCTAAGAAGGTGAATCAGTTTCCCAGATTTGTCCAGGGCATAATCCAGAATCTGATCTTGACATTTAACTCAAGGCCCCAGTGACTACCCATGGACATTTTGGGTTAGTGCTTGTGGTGGGTCAGTGATGGATTGGACTCTACAGGGTCCCTGCCTCCCAAGGACCTTGCATGCAGCTGGGGCCCCCATGACACACGTGGGAGGAGGAGCCCTCAGTGGGAGTGTGGGATTGAATGGCTAGGGTCGAGGGACTGAGGGTCCTGTAGTGAGTGTGACAGAGACGTCTGTGGGAGGGGCACAGGACAGTGTCACTGGGGAGGCAGGAGCAAGGGGACTGCTAAGAAAGAGGGGACACTCTAGGCTGTGATGATGGGGAAGGTCCATATGGGGTAGGAAACCAGAGAAAACATGGCGTCGAGCAGGGGCCTACCAGGAAAGGAGAGTGGACATCTCAGGAGAGAGCTAGTCCCTGACAGTGAGGCCCCAGGTCCAAGGAGGAACTCAGACATTATCCAGGAGTCCACAGGGAACCACGAGCAGTGGGCTTTGGTACTGCTGGTGACTGACGTGGTCCGTGCAGGAAAAGTAAGCATAAAGACATGGTGGAGGATGGCCTATCTTGGTTCTGCTGTTGGTATCTCCTGTTCTGGAATATTCTCTGGCAATTCTGGGTGAGAGTAAAACTACCCCTTGCAAAAACATGACAATGCCTTCTGCTGACTCTTTTCCCACAGGGTGAAAAGAATTGTGTTCACATTTGAGGATGGTTGAGTTCAGGATGCAAAGTGTTAGAAGCACAATGAGCAGAGAGCACAATTTCTGATTGAATAAAGGACATTTTATTGAGTGTCGAGCGGGTGCAGCGAGAAGGGCTGGGGTGACCCTGGTGGGAGGGCAGATCCGCCCGGAGGTCCTGTGGCTCCAGGCCCCCTTGGATGGGGGAGGGTGTCAGGGACCTAAGAGCACTCTGCGGGGACCACCTTCTTCTCCACGGTTCTCCCCTCGTGCGTGACCAGGCAGCTGACGCTGCTGTATGATTTCCACTGGGCAGGCGACAGGCTCAGGTAGCTGCTGGCCGCGTACTTGTTGTTGCTCTGTTTGGAGGGCTTGGTGGTCTCCACGCCCTGGGTGACGGGGCTGCCGTCTGCCTTCCAGGCCACCGTCACGCCACTGGGGTAGAAGTCACTGACGAGGCACACCAGGGTGGCCTTGTTGGTGCCGAGTTCCTCATAGAATGACAGGAAGAGCATGACCAAGGGCGCGGACTTGGGCTGATCTGTGTGGACAGAGGAGAGAGTGGAGAGATGCAGGGAGAGTCCCAGTGTTGGGCAGCCCTTCCCTTATCTACAGTTTCTGTGACTGTTCCCATGGTGGCCATGTTTGTTCACCCAGGGGATCCTCCTTACCACTCCAGCCCTGGACAGCAAGCAGCCCCCCATGCTCCCAGCAGCTCTTCCATGTCACCTCTCCCAGATGTGTGAGAGGTGCATCTGCAGCCTCAGTTTCCTCCTCAGCCCCGCATCTGGGCCCCATATCACTTCATTCTTCTGGATCCAGGTGCTTCCCCTGTGAACTGGAGTCCCCTACCCAGCCTGCCAGGACAACTCTGACGGTATGTATGGAGGTCCCGAGCCCTGCACCCAGTGGGGCAAGGAGCCCCTGTCCCCCTCAGGAATAGCTCTGTCCCTGCCTCCTGGGAAGGCTGGGTACTCCAAGGCTCTGCCATCTCCCACATCTCTCCTGCCCTGACCACAGGACCCTTCACTTCTGCAGCCTTCTTGGGGCTACTCCCCGCAGACGACAGGCAGGGTGGCCCCATGGCCACCTCAGCACTTCTGATGATTCCTGACTTTAAGGGGCAGCTGTGTAGCTCTGAGCCCCCACTCACTTTCCACTTTGTCATCTTCTGAGTCTAAAGTACCCTTTGAGGAAGGCAGGAGGCCACCCCTGGGACAGGTGAGACACCTGGGGATTATAGGGCTCCAGGGACAGGTAAGACTCTGCCCCATGGTACCTGCTCCCTTCTGACCAACATCCTGGGAGGGCTGTGTTTCTGGTCACCTTGCCCTGCATTGCTTGTGTCTCTGTCTCCATGTCCCCATGGCCTAGCAGAGGCCCTCAGCACTTCAGCCTAGAGCAAACCAGACTGTTCTGTCCCCCTCCTATGGGCCTCCCCTTTGGCTGCCCCTCTGTGTGCCCAGAGGCTGGGCTCACAGCCCCAGCCATGTCCCTAGCCTCCTGTGTGGTCCTCCTAGCCTGGATGGGCATCAAGCCCGCAGCCAAGACCCCAAGGGACTCTCTAAGGCTACCCCAGTGCCCCTAGTCAGAACCAGCCTCAGACCCCACACAGGTGTCTGCCCTGGAAGAAGGGAAGGAGCCCCCATTTTTGGATCACTCACCCCCAGCCTAGGGCCCTGGAATCTGGACACATTCAATCGTCAGATTCTAAAGGTAAATACTTGTACTATTGGGGTCCTTCCTACTGGTTTCCCTGAGACCAATCCACTTCCCCAGATCCCACAGATCTGCTAGAAGGTCAGTCCTTAAGGCTGGGAGGGTAGACAGGGAGCAGCCCCCAAAGAAAAGTAACTTTCCCAAGACAACAGAGGGGTGGGGCAGGTTGGGAAATGTGGTGAGAGCCACTTACCTAGGACGGTGAGCTGGGTTCCTTCACTGAAAACAAACCAGGATGACTGAGTTTCAGGCCAAAACCCACCAGGCCAGCACCTGGGGCCTGCCCCCTGGGGGCCAGGCCAGAACAGGAACCTGTGATGGGCATAAGGCTGTAGCAGGTGGGGCTGGGCAGCCAGCCTCCTAGAGGCTGTGGCACACCTGGATGAGCCCACAGCCCAGAGGTGTCCCCATGCCCAGCCCCCGATTGAGGCAGACTCTACCCATGTCTTGTATATTTCCCCCCTTTCCAAGGCTGTCCTGGTCACCTCCTAATCCTCAGTCTGATGGTGACACTGCATAGAGTGGGTGTTTAGTAAATCCCTGGGTGCCTTGTCCTCTCATGTGGTGTGGCAGAGCGAGTCCTCAACTGGCTCAGACCTGCCTGACGGTCTCATTTAGAGCTTCCGAGGGTTCCTCTCCTACAATTTCCCATGGTCCAGCCAGGTGGCTTCCTTCCTGCTCCTACTGGTCTGGGACTGGGTCATTCCTGACTCATTGTACTTCCATGTGTAGACCCCCCACTTTTTCTCTACACATCAAGTCACAATGCAATCCCACCTCTTTGATGAAGCTTTCTGTAATCTCTCAGACCACTGTTTTTCTGTCCACCTGTCTGTGCCTCTGTCCATGTGTTCATCCATCCATCCATCCATCCATCCATCCATCCATCCACTCACCCATCTATCCATCCAAAAGTAGCTCCAGGCACTGTTTCATATGCTGGGACATGGAGGGCCTCCCTGGCTTTCATCTCCATCTCTCCCTGAAAGCTCTCAAGTCAGGGCCAACAAGGCCTTCTTCCTGGGCAGTTCCCCAGTTCCTGTTGTACATTATGTCTTTACAGGATGCAACATAGAATCAGCCTCTGTTTTCAGTGACTCTCTTCCTGTTGGTACCTGAGACCTCCCATTCTCCTCCCCTGACTTCTCTTTCACCCCTGCCCATGCATGGCAGCTGACTCCCAGATTGGCACCCTGGGTCCTCCTTTGCCATCTTCCTATACTGTGGATTCCCACTACTGCCCATTTGGTGAAGTTCAAGTCTAGGCCAGCTCTAAACCCTCTCCTTGACTCTCCCTAAATTGCCTACTGACCATCTCCAGCTGGATGTTCAACAGGAATCTCAAACTTACCATATCCAAGTGAGATTGACCACCTTCCCCCCAATCCAGCTCTTTTTTCTGTCTTCATCTTGTCACACATGACCATGAGTGCTCTCACTACCCAAACCTCAGGCCAGATCTGTAGCTTCAAAGCAATCCCAATCAAATTCCCAGCAAATTATTTTGTTGATATTGGCAAACTGATTCTAAAGTTTATATAGTGGGGCAAAGGACTCAGAATAGCTAACACAATATTGAAAGGAAAGAACAAAGTTGGAGAAATGACACCACAAGGCTTCGAGACTTACTATAAAGCTACAATAATCAAGACAGTGTGGTATTGACATAAATACAGACCAATGGAATAGAACAGAGAGCCCAGAAATAAACTCTCACACATACAATGAAATGATTTTTGACAAGGGTGCCAAGACCATTCAATGGGGGAAAGGACAGTCTTATCAATAAATGGTGCTAGGAAACATAGATATTCACATGCAGAAGAATGAAGTTGGACTCTTACCTAACATTATATACAAAAATAAACTCAAAATGGATGCAAGGCATAAATATAAGAGCTAAAACAATGAAACTCTTAGAAGAAAACATAGGACAAAAGCTTTACAACATTGGATTGGCAGTGACTTCTTGGATATACTGAAGGCACAGGCAACAAAAGAAAAACTAGACAAGTTGGATTTCATGAAAATGTCAAAATTTTGTATATCAAATGATGCTTTTGACAGGGTAAAAAGGCAGCCCACAGAATGAGAGAAGATATTTGCAAATCATATATGTAATAAAAGGTTAATATCCAGAATATATAGGGAACTCCTAAAACTCAACAAGAAAAAAACAAACAACCCAATTCAAAAATGGGCAAAGGACTTGAACAGGCATTTCTCCAAAGAACATATGCAAATGGCCAATAAGCACATGAAAGATGCTCAATATTACTAATCATTAGATAAATGCAAATTAGGACTACAATGAGATACCACCTCATACTCATTGGGATGGCTACTATTAAAAAAACAAACTAGGAAACAAGTGTTGGTAAGGATGTGGAGAAATTGGAACCCTTGTGTAATGTTGGTGCACAAATACCGCATGATTCCACTTATGTGAGGTATTTAGAGTAGTCAAAATCATAAACAACAGTCTTAAGTTACCAGTGGATCAAAGAAGAAACTACAAGTGAAACTAAAAGATACTTTGAGATGAATGAAAAGAAAACCCAACACACTAAAACCTATGGGATTCAGTGACAGTGGTGTTCTAAGGAAAATTTATTGCTATAAAAAGTCTCTATTAAAAAAGAAGAAAGATTTCAAACCAATAACTTAAGTCTACCTTAAGGAAATAGAAAAAGAAGAGCAAGTTAATTCCAAAGCTAGCAGAAGGAAGGAAATAATAATGATTAGAGTAGAAATAAATGAATTAGAGAATAAAAAACAATAAGGAGAACCAGTAAAACCAAAAGCTGGTTCTTCGAAGTTTAGCAGCTCTGAGAAATCTTTACCAGATCGACAAATACAAAACAGAGAAGATTCCAATTATTAAAGTCAGAACTGGGGCACCTGGGTGGCTCAGTGAGTTAAGCATCTGCCTTGGGCTCAGGTCACGATCCCAGGGTCCTGGGATCGAATCCCACATTACGCTCCCTGCTCAGCAGGGAGTCTGCTTCTCCCTCTGCCTCGCTCTCTCTGTCAAATAAATAAATAAAATCTTTTTTTAAAAAAAGTCAGAACTAGGGCGCCTGGGTGGCTCAGCTGGTTAAGCGACTGCCTTCAGCTCAGGTCATGATCCCAGGGTCCTGGGATCGAGTCCCACATCGGGCTCCCGGCTCAGCAGGGAGCCTGCTTCTCCCTCTGACCCTCTCCCCTCTCATGCTGTTTCTCTCCTGCTCACTCTCTAATAAATAAATAAATAAATAATCTTAAAAAAAAAAAGGCAGAACTGGAAGTTGGGACATTATTACACACCATGCAAAATTGAAAAGGATTATAAGGAAATAATATGAACAATGGAATACCAACAAATCAGATAACCTAGTTGAACTGAACAAATTCCTAGAAAGACACTAACAACCTAAACTGACTCAAAAAGAAATAGAAAACCTGAACAGGCCTATAACAACTAAAGAGATTAAAATGGTAATCAAAATCCGTTCTCATAAAGAAAAGCCCAGGATGAGAAGGCTTCACCAGAAAATCCTACCAAATATTTTTATGTATGCATGTGTGTATGTACAAAATATTTATTTATTTATTTATTTATTTATTTATTTATTTATTTATTGAGTGCATACAGGCACATGAGCGGGTGCAGGGGGGAGAGGGAGAGAGAGAGAGATTCTCAAGCAGACTCTGCCCTGAGCGCAGAGCCTGAGGTGGGGCTCGATCCCATGACCCTGAGATCATGACCTGAGCCAAAACCAAGAGTCAAACACTTAACTGACTGAGCCACCCAGGCACCCCTGTACCAAATATTTAAAGAAAATTTAACACCAATCCTTCACAAACTCTTCTGAAAAATAATAAAGAAAGGAACACTTCCTAACTCATTCTTTGAGAATTACCCTGATTTCAAAACCCAACAAAGACATCACAAGAAAACTACAAACTATCCCTTATGAATACACATGCAAAAATGCTCAATAAAAAACTAGAAAAGCGAATCCAACAGTATATTGAAAGAATCATACAGCAAGTGGGATTTATCTCAGGAATGCAAGGGGGTTCAACTTAAGAAAATCAATCAACACAACATATCATAATAATAAAATGAAGGATGATAGCCAGGTGATCATCTCCATTGATGCAGAAAAATATTTGACAAAATTCAACACAATTTCATGACAAAAGACTTTAAAAACTTGGAGTAGAAGGCACCTTCCTCAACTTTATAAAACCATCTATGAAAAATCCACATTGAACATCATATTCATTGGTGGAAGACTGAACGCTTTTCCCTCAAGGTCAGGAACAAGACAAGGATGCCTATTTTTGCCCCTTCAGTTCAACACTATACTGGTGAATGGCTAAACAAAATGTAATACATTGAAAAATGAAATACTTCTCAGCAATAGAAAGGAACAAGCTATTGACAAATGGAATAACCTGGGTGAACTTCAAAGCCGTTATACTGAACTAAAGAAGCCAGACTCAAAAGGTTCTGTACTTGGAATATTATTATTCAGTTATAAAAAACCAACAAACTATGATTCACCCAACAATCTGAACTGACATCCAGAAAATTAGGCTGGGTGTAAAACGCTAACACCAAATGTTACAAATTGTGTGATTCCATTTATAGAACAATCTTGAAATGACAAAATTAGAAATGAAGACCAAATTAGTAGTTGCCAGCGGATAAAGAAAGGGCTTGGAAGGGACGGAAATGGGAGTGGCAATAGAAGGGCAAGATGAGGAATCTGCAGTGAGGGAAATGTTCTGTGCCTTAACTGTATCAATGTCAATATCCTGGTTGTGATATTTTACTATAGTTTTACAAGGCATTACCATTGGGGGAAACCAGGTGAAGGGGACATGGGGTCCCCTGTATTGTTTCTTACAACTACATGTGAATCTACAATGATTTCAAAATAAAAAGTTTAATTTACAGAAAGGTTATATACTGCATTATTCCATTTATGTGATAGTCTGGAAAAGGCAAAACTATAGGGTCCCAGAGAGATCGGTGGTTGCCATGGTTGGGGCAGAGAAACGGACTGATTACAAAAGGGACACAAGGAAATTTTGGGGGGTGATGGAAATGTTCTCTATCTTGATTGTGGTGGTAGTTACATGACTCTATGATTTTATTAAAATTTATACAACTACTATACCAAAAAGAGGGAATTTTACTCTGTATAAATTAAAGTAAAATAAAAATAGAAATCTTTATTACATTACTATAGTCGCTATATATATATAAATATATATATTTTATATATATAATGAGTTTATAATTCTTTTCCATGGATATACCATAGTTTATTTTACCTTCTCGTATTGTTGGACATTGAAGGGCTTTCTACTTTTTCCTCTGAACACACTTACAATATTTAGCTGAAGTTCTGATTATTTCCTCAAGATAAATTTCTAGGAGTGGAATTACTTGGTTAAAAGGAATGCAGATTTTTATACATCTTGACACACGGTGTCATTTGTTCCAAGAATTTCTTCTCCCACTGACCATCCATGACAGTGCCCAGTCCTCCCCCGTCAACCTCTGGCACCATCACTTTAAATTCACCTGCCAATTTCACAGGTGATCTTGGTCGTTGTGTGGACAGCCCCCTCTCTGCAGCTCTCATCTGCCGTCAAAAAAGCTGGATCCATTTTCCCAAGACACAAATCTGACTCTGAGAGTCCCTTATGTAAGTCCCTCAAGGACCTCGGGAAAAATCATGGGGGCGTGAAACCCCCTGCGGTCTGCCACCCTCCTCACCTCCCCCAATCTCTGCTGTGCCTGCGCGCCTCACTCTCCTTTCAGCCTTTGCTATTCCCTTTGCCTGGAGACACCCCATCACTGGCCAACAGCGTTTCATCTGTAAAACCAGCTTGGTCATTTCCCCCCGTCCCACCTTACTGCTCTAAAAATGGTCTATCGGTCTGTCCTCAAGACTGCACGTGACCCCCTTGGTTCAGCCCCATCGTCTCTACATCCACCGGCCCTGAGTGACCGGAAAGTGAGTAGACTTCCTTGGGGGAGACCAAGGCCTTGCAAACCACCCCTTCTCTTGGCCCATTTTATTAAGATGCAGGACAGGCTGGTGCAGTCACAGCGCTCTCTTAACTGGCTAGCAAAAAAGCCAGGGGGGCATCCTGGCTCCTCTCTTTCCTGTTACTCCCACCTCCTGAATCTCCAACTGCCCGTCCACTCTGCCAAGGACACAGCCACACCCTCCTCAATGTCTCTCTAGCTCTGGATTCCCACCCTCAACCACCCAAGTCTGGTCATGTCCTTTCCTTGCAAACATTCCCCAGGATGCCCCAGATGAAGTCTGTCCTCCAGGGATGGGTCCTCTATGTCAGGGGCTGGTCACCTGTTCAGCCTTCTCTCAGACCATCTTGGCCCCAGTACCCACTCGTTCCAGCCCTGCGGACCACTGGGAGCTTCCTGGGCATTCTGTGCCTCTATTATCTCACCATTGTCCTTATGTGTGGTTGCTGCTTCACCTGCCCCCTCTCTCGCTGGACCTTGAATTGGGGCCAAAGCTTTGTTCCCCTGGGATCCCAGCCCCAGCACAAGGCCTGACCCCCCATGGGGGCTCCATCTCTCCTTGTGTTTCCCAGGGCCCTGCTGGATGCTGAGATGCCAGTCCTTGCCCAACACCCACAGGTGCTGACCCACCCTTCATGGCTGGCCTGCTAATACAGAACAGAAGCATCTCATCCTGTTCCAGTCCTGCACCATGGCAACACCAGCATCCTTGGGGTGGGTGTCAGGCTACAAGGCCCTCACCCAACTAGGACCCCTAGCTTTGCAGGTAGGCAACTGAGGCTGGGAGAGGCAGACTTGTCAGCCCCACAAGTTAGGAGATGGGGGTGGGAAGACCTGGCAGCCATCAGGCTTGCGTGTTGGAGTCTGCACAGGCTGTGTGACATTGGGCAGGTCCCCTCAGCTCTCTGGATCTCTATCCTCATCTGTAAAATGGGGACGATAGCAGGCTCTGCCTTGTGGGGCTGCTGAGGGATGTTCTGCCCCTAAAGTGATTAGTGCCCACAATGAACGTGCTGTTGTGTCACTCATTATCATAAGTGGACCCAGATGCTCGGCACTTAGTCCAGGGACTTCCCACCGCACACAGAGAGAAGGGCCTGGGGTCACTCAGCAAGTGGTGGCAGACCGTGGCCCCCACAGACACTCGAAGGGGCCTTTCCCATGGAGGCGCTTGCACCCTGGGTGGGCTTGAGTTCTTAGGGGGTCAGTCACAGGAAGCGGCCCTGGCTGAAGGTCCTTGGCTGAGGGTCTGGTGACCTAGGGACAGCAGGGAAGGCCCACTCTGATGTAAGAAGCATTGGCTGGAGGGGCGCCTGGGTGGCTCAGTCAGTTGAGTGGCTGCCTTCGGCTCGGGTCATGGTCCCAGGGTCCTGGGATTGAGACCCACATCGGGCTCTCTGCTCAGTGGGGAGCCTGCTTCTCCCTCTGCCTTTGCTGCTCCCCCCGGCTTGTGCTCTCTCCCTCTCTCTTTCTCTCAAATGAATAAATAAAATCTTTTTAAAAAAAGAAAAGAAGCATTGGCTGGAGCCTGCACCCTAGTGCTCCAGGGGGTGGCCCCTGCCCAGCAGGGGAAGGGCAAGGAGGTGGCTCATCAGTTAAGAGGAGGCGGCCTGGGCACCCTGACCCAGTCACAGCACCTACCACCTACGTGGGTATCCTGCCCCTGCCTCCTGTTTCTTCCCTACCCAGAAGACCAGGGTGAGGTGAGTGAGGCACTAGCCTTGGGTGCAAAATTTAGGAATGCCAAAAAGCTCAGTAATTAAGACAAATAATATATTAATACAATACTAAAACAAATGAATGCAAATGAATACACCATGGACAAAATGTCAACACTTTAAATAAAGCCAGTGTCTGTCCAGGCTGCCCCCTTCTCACTGATTCTTCCTTGTCCTTCTTGTCCCCCTCATAGCCGCTCTTTGTCCCAGTCCCAGTTCTGGCTGCAAAGACCCTCTCCTCCCTCACCCCCATGACTCCCTCAGTCCCTTACCTGTCCCACGGGCTCCGAGAGCTCCTTCCTGCTGGGGCTCCAGGGTCTGGGGTGCTGTTCGGTGGGTCTACTGTCAGTGGGGGCAGCCGACCATGGGCACCCACAGCCAAGCCCAGCAGCAGCAGGGGCCAGCATGGCTTGGGGCCAGGGCTCTGCCCCCAGGGGGCCTCAGAGCCCACCTGACCTGTTCCCAGCCTCATTTGCCCTCAGGGTCAAAGGACCTGCAGGCTTGAGCTCCCTGGAGGAGAGTCAGTGAGTACCCTGGTCCTTCTTACTGGCAGTGGCTATCCCAGTGTTCCCTGGCCCAAGCGGCCCGGTCCTCTGCCTGAACCTTCTCTCCAAGGCCCATGGCTGTTACTCCGGGGGGTCTCTCCCAGCGGGCCATTGGCCAACTGCCCTGCTGTGGTCTGCATCCAGAGCTCAACCGTCTCCCACCACAGCTGCAAGCCTGGTCTTGTCCCTGGGGCCCTGGGTGGGCCACACCTGCTCCTGCCTTCCTTCTCAGAGGGTGCCTGGGTCTGTGGAGCCTCTCCCCTGGGACTGGAGAGGCCATGGAGGCAGTGAAATGCCGGTGGGGTAGGAGTTGCCTGCGTTCAGTGGGCTGGGGCTGGGGCTGCTGTTCTGACCAGCCTGGGGGCAGGGGTGGTGACAGGGGAGGAAACAGGTGTCGTTTAGCAGGAAGCCGATGTTCAAGTTCGGGAATCATGATACAATTATAAAAATAGGGTTTAATGCACCATGTCCAGCACCTCATGGGTGTCATCTCTCTCTCTGACACACACACGCACACACTCACACCCTCACACCCCCATAGATTTTAATTTTATTTTATTTTTTAAGATTTTATTTATTTATTTGACAGAGAAAGACACAGTGAGAGAGGGAACACAAACGGGGAGTGGGAGAGGGAGAAGCAGACTCCCCGCCGAGCAGGGAGCCCGATGCGGGACTCGATCCAGGGACTCCAGGATCATGACCTGAGCCGAAGGCAGTCGCTTAACCAACTGAGCCACCCAGGTGCCCACCCTCATAGATTTTATCCAGAGGTCACCATCATGAGCATGGCGTTGGCACACTGCATGCAGTAATGGTTTCCGTGAGACTCCTTTCCCATTTCCCCGAATGCCCACGCACTGTCCGTCCCGGAACCCCGCTTCGGTGTGGGGTGAGCAGCGGCAATGAAGAGGGACCGAGCCCCCGCGTGGGGTGGCAAGAGCCTGGCTCTGCGCTGGCACTCCCGGGAGGGATGCTCTGGTCACCTCTGGGGCTTCCAGGCGTCTGGGAGGTGGGGCTGGCAGCAACTGCCGGCTCTGCTCACTTTCAGGACCATGGCGAGGTCCAAGTTGGCAGAGAATGGATGTGAAGTTGCTTCTTTGCCCTTTAGTTTTTTAAAAACTGTGGTAAAATATACATAAAATGACGTTTGCATCTTAGCCATTTTAAGTGTACAATTCAGTGGCATTAAGCACATTCACACTGTTGTGCAAGCCTTACCACCGTCCCTCTCCGAGCTTGTTCATCTTCCCAGACTGAAACGCTGTCCGCTTGAAACATGGTAACTCCCCATTCTTCCTCCCCACCCCCCGCACCCACCATCCTACTTTCCGTCTCCGTGAATCTGACTCTGGGGTCCTCGTATATGTGGAGTCATATAGTATTTGTCCTTTGAACATGCTTTTTAAAGATTTCATTTTATTTCTTTATTTTGGGGGGTAGGGGCAGAGGGAAAGAGAATCTGAAGCAGGACTCTGCGCTGAGCATGGAGCCGACCTGGGGCTCCATCTCATCACCAGGAGATCACAACCTGAGCCGAAACCAAAAGTCAGGCACTTAATTGGCTGAGCCACCCAGGCACCCCTGAACGTGCTTTTTTTTTTTTAATTTAAATTCAATTAATTAACATATAATGTATTAATGGTTTCAGAGGTAGAGGTCAGTGATTCATCACTCTTTTTTTTTTTTTTTTAATTCATCAGAGACAGAGCGAGAGAGAAAGGCAGAGGGAGAAGCAGGCTCCCAAGGAGCAGGGAGCCTGATGCGGGACTCGTTCCCAGGACCCTGAGATCATGACCTGAGCCGAAGGCAGACGCTCAACCATCTGAGCCACCCAGGCGCCCCTGATTCATCACTCTTATATAACACCCAGTGCCCATTACATCACATGCCCTCCTTAATGTCCATCACCCAGTTATCCCATCTCCCCATCCACTGCCCCTCCAGCAACCCTCAGTTTGTTTCCTATAATTAAGAGTCTCTTATGGTTTGTCTCCCTCTCTGATTTTTTCTTGTTTTATTTTTGTTCTTTTCCCCTATGATCCTCTGTTTTGTTTCTTAAATTCCACATATCAGTGAGATCACATAATTGTCTCTCTGATTGACTTATTTTGCTTAGCATAATATCCTCTAGTTCTAACCACATCATTGCAAATGGCAAGATGTCATTTTTTTGGTGGTTGAGTAGTATTCCATTGTGTATATGTGTATATATATATATATATATATATATATATATATATACACACCTCATCTTCTTTTTCCATTCATCTGTTGATGGACATCTGGGCTCTTTCCATAGTTTGGCTATTGTGGACATTGCTGCTATAAACATTGGGGTGCAGGTGTCCCTTCAGATCACTACATTTGTATCTTTGGGGTAAATACCCAGTAGGGCAATTGCTGGGTCGTAAGGTAGCTCTATTTTCAACTTTTTGAGAAACTTCCATACTGTTTTCCAGAGTCACTGCACCATCTTCATTCCCACCAACAGCGTAGGAGGGTTCCCCTTTCTCCGCATCCTCGCCAACATCTGTCATTTCCTGACTTGTTAATTTTAGCCATTCTGACTGGTGTGAGGTTTGTATCTCACTGTGGTTTTGATTTGTATTTCCCTGATGCCGAGTGATATTGAGCATTTTTTCATGTGTCTGTTGGCCATTTGTATGTCTTCTTTGGAGAAATATCTGTTCATGTCTTCTGCCCATTTCTTAATTGGATTATTTGTTCTTTGGGTGTTGAGTTTGATAAGTTCTTTATAGGTCTTGGATACTAGCCTTTTATCTGATATTTCATTTGCAAATATCTTCTCCCATTCTGTCGATTGTCTTTTGGTTTTGTCGACTGTTTCCTTTGCTGTGCAAAAGCTTTTTATCCTGATGAGGTCCCAATAGTTCATTTTTGCCTTATTTCCCTTGCCTTTGGGGACGTGTCTAGCAAGAAGTTGCTGCAGCTGAGGTCACAGAGGTTGCTGCTGCCTGTGTTCTCCTCAAGGATTTTGATGGATTCCTGTCTCACATTTAAGTCTTTCAACCATTTTGAGTATTTTTGTGTATGGTGAACATGCCTTTTAAATGGAGAAGTACAGGGGCACGTGGGTGGCTCAGTCGGTTAAACGACTGCCTTCGGCTCAGGTCATGATCCTGGAGTCCCTGGATCGAGTCCCGCATCGGGCTTCCTGCTGTGCAAGGAGTCTGCTTCTCCCTTTGACCCTCCCCTCTCTCATGTGCTCTCTCTCACTCTCTCTCTCTCAAATAAATAAATAAAATCTTTAAAAAAAATAAATAAAATAAATGGAGAAGTACAGCGAGCATAACACATATGGAGGACGACTGTTATGATCACATTTCTTATTGCTGTTATTGTTAGTGTGGCCACCAGCCAGTCCATCTGGTGGGGCCGAGAAAAAAATCACCAGCTTCAAAAAATAAATGAAACCCTAGTTTCATTATATATATATCACCTGTCACTTTTCAAAGTTTGTCTTGTAACTCAGAGGGTTGTGATAGCAGTTCAGTGGTTGCAACTAGTGTTTTGCAAAAGTGAAGTAGCCTAGAGCAGGTGGGAGAACGGAGAGTGCCCCGTGCAAGGAGCGGGCTGGTGACAGTTCATGGGATTTTGCTTCAGTAATTGAAATACATAGATGTACTCTGGATGATGATGGGAAGTGCATCTCTTACCGGGAGTTTTGATGGCAAAACTTGTGGAAAACGCTGTCTAGAAGCACACTGGTTTGGCTGCGCATGCCAGCAGAAGCTAGTTGGCAGGTCCACCCTGCCCTTCCCGGCTGATTGGCCTAGAGTTCAGGTTTGCAACCTTTTGTTTTAGGTCCTCTGTATCCCAGTGTGTCCTGGAGCAGTGTGGTCCTGGGGGCTCGTCCATCTTTGTGAGGCTCCCCCCTAGGGTCTCCCAGAGTGAACTTCATGGGTGCCATATGCCCTAGTGGAGCCAGGCCATCCCAGGTGCTCCCTTGGCATCTGTCCAGCCACGGTGCTGGGATGCTGTAACAGACAGACATACTGACTTCCTCCTATCACATGGAGCTCATGAGGACCACAGAGAGGTCGAACTCCATGGAGGATTACGACTCTGCTCGGCTCCCTGTGTCCCACACTCCGTGACCGATCATCCCCAAGGGCCAGGCACTGTGTCCTGGATAGCTCAGGGTCAACAGGGAGATGGGCACAGCACGGAACAATAACGGGGGCCAGCACCCTAGCAGACGTCATACAAGGGACAGGGGCAGACCTTGGGAGGCCCCTGATTCAGCCTGGTTTTTCCTCATTGTGATGCTGGGCCCACTCCTGCCTCTGACCTTGGGCTTTCAGCACCTTTGGAGCTGGGGACGGGTCTGTCCCAGGGGTCCAGATTGAAGCTGCTCCCCCCCAGCACCCCTGTGAGGGTGTGACACTCACCCACTGCCCAGGGTTCAGAAGCTGTGGTTCCACTTGGAACAGCCCCAGGTCTCAGGGAGAAGGAGGGGCTGGACCTAAACTCAGGGATCCCGGTTGCCCTGACACAGCCTCTGGACGGCCACAGGAGAGACCGGATGCTGGAGGAGGGAGCTGGCTCCCAGGAGGGGCGCAGCAATCAAGGAAGCAGGGCTGCAAAACTCCAGTCGGAGACTTGGTCAGGATGTCAAAATAGCCCAGACTGAGTAGGAGGGAAGGGGTGTGCAGTTTAGAACCCAGTGGTGCCAGAGACCAAGGGGAAGTGACTTTTCTTGCCCACATGTGTAGGTTGAGTGCAAGCCTCTCAGCAGGTGAGGTTGAACCAGATGATGAGGGCTAAGGACGTGCTTTCTCAGACTTCGATGGGCAGAGAATACCAGGGACCTTGTGAAAATGTGGATTCACATTCAGCAGGTCTGGGCTGCCCCAGAAACGAGGCATTTTTTAAACAAGCCCCCAGGTGGTGCGGTGGCAGCCAGCCAATACACGGACCACACTTTGAGTAACAAGGTGCAAATGCAGCTCTGCACTGCCCCCTGGTGGCCTAGCTGAATGGTGTTTGTAGGTAATAGAGACCACTGGT